GAACGCATCAATAGGGCAAAGGCCAATAAAGACAGAGAAGGTTATTGCACAAAAGGGCAAAGGCCAATAAAGACAGAGAAGGTTATTGCACAAATAGAGTGGATGAGATTTCTTGCATACTTCAATTTTAGTTGTTGCAACTTTATTTTCTCAAAAAGTTGGTAGTTACAAAATAAAGGTTAGCCAAAACAATATCTTCTACATCTCTAAATATTTTGTTGAGCTTGGTTCGTCTTGGACATACTGAATAACATAAAAGTATTTTTGATATCTAACATCACTACATACAATAAAAATAAATCATATTATCAATATCGCACAAAAATAAACAACAGAAATAAAAAATATAATTCAAAATGGTTCATGTGCAACACACGTGTGCACCAACTAGTATATAGGATGTGTGACTTNTAAAAATAAATCATATTATCAATATCGCACAAAAATAAACAACAGAAATAAAAAATACAATTCAAAATGGTTCATGTGCAACACACGTGTGCACCAACTAGTATATAGGATGTGTGACTTCAACTTGTGTGGACAAAGTAATTATTGAAGATGTAACCATAAAAGTGAACATTTTTTAGAATGGATAACTAAAATACCTAAATTTTAAAATTTTTTTATATTAGAATTCTTTCTCCCTCAAATATGAAACGTAATCAAATTTAAAACTTAAACAAATTTTAAATTCTTTAATTTTAGATATTTTCCATATTAAATTATTTCTCTATAAAACTCCTAAATTTTAGTGTTTTTATGTATATACACACACAAACGTACCCAATAGTTATGGATTAACGTTAAATAAGANAGATATTTTCCATATTAAATTATTTCTCTATAAAACTCCTAAATTTTAGTGTTTTTATGTATATACACACACACACACGTACCCAATAGTTATGGATTAACGTTAAATAAGAGAGTGGGTTAATGAGAATATTTATTTTGCCTAGAATAAAGGGGATGAGATTATGGGTTTCCTAATCCCGTTAGACAATTGGACCATTGTTTTAAAGAGTAGTGTAGCTTTTTTTTTTTTTTTTTTATAACTAATGGATTTCTTTCCAAAAGAGTTTCCTTGATGGATTTAAACAATAATAAGACTAATTAAGTGTACCGTCCTCCAAATAAACAAAAAAAAAAAAATTATTCCTTTCCATCAAAAACCAACTAAACCAGAGGTTGAGATGATTTCTTTATTTATGTTTGCTCCATTGACTTTTTATGGTGAAGTCATGGTTCCACTTTATTTTAATTATTGAACGATACAGCATCACAATCCCATGGTAGGTAAGGATCCCAAAAAAAAAAAAAACAAAAAACAAAAAAACAATCCTTAACAAGATATTAACCGATGATTCTGGACACGATACAAAATTAGAAGATTTGAATTTTTTTTAAGTCATCTATTTTATAAACGAGTGGACACGATATGACACAACACGATTAATAAACGAATTGTGTATGAGTAAAGTCAATCAAAAGAAATACACGATACAACTTGTTTAATATCAGTTTTACACGATTGATACACGATACAACTCGATATGACATGACTCGTTTAATATCGGTTATACACAATACAATCTGACATGACATGACTCATTAAATATAAATTAATAAACAAATTAAGTATAAAAAAAATATTTTTAGACACGAACTCATTAAAATTCAACGCAAACTTGTTTCAACTGATATAATTGACAAACCTATAAGCAGTGGTGCTCATATTGTGGGGGTTAAAATGAGATTAAGGGTGAAAAAATGGCAAATCAAATGAGATTCGCGACTGAGATCATGAGTATATCTAGATTTGACTCTGCCATCACTGATTGAGTTTGATTGTGAGTTCGATTGTTGAGCTTAGATAGCTTGATTAGGTAGAAACATATGAACAATTCAATCAATACGAAATTTAATTTATCAAAAAAAAATTAAAAATTAAACCCTAAAACTCAATAAGCACTTATAAGATAATTGATTTCTTACCAAAAAACCCTTCATATGATAAAATCAAACCTTAGAAACTCAAATTTCTTAAAAGTATATTAGAGAGAGAGAGAGAGAGAGAGAGAGAGAGAGAGAAGAAGAAGTATACTATGATCTGAAGTTATTTTGGGAGATAAATTTAAAATTGTTCCTCTTTCAAATAGGGGTTGTTTACAATAAATTACATTTATTAGTAGATAAGAAACGATTCGAGTCGAAGGAATTTATTTATTGCCTGGATTTGACTTATTTACATAACAAACTTAAAAATCTAACCAAGTTAACTTTGTAATTTGAACAATTAAAAATCGAGTTGAGTCCTAACCTGGCTCGAGCTATTATTTGGATATTTCAAGAGCCCCATCCACAAGGAGCTACCTTTAAAATGGTTTGATGGTTGCTCTTTGGGAGTGAAACTCAAAGTTGCAATGGGTAAGGTGGAGGACCAAACTATGTCTGGCCGTGGATGATTCAAAGTAATCTGGCTTGAAGGAAACTAAGAAAACGACATGACTTAAGGGCTAGAAATGAATGGAGGATGATGTATGACATTGAGAGAAAAGATAGTAATATGCATCTGTTTCATACTTTGATAACTTACAAGAGGATGACTCATCTTCTTGTGATTATCCTTCTAAGAAAATGATTTGTCTTCACCTATTTCCTCCTATTTTTGGGTCTTACCCTGTTTAAATAGGTTAGGTATGCGTTATTTTTTGACATTTTCAAATGAATATGGAGACCTCCAATTATAGACGTTCATTCACAAATTACTTATTATTTTTTGAAATTAAATGTATTTACGTTTCAAAACTCGGTCAATCAACAGAATAAAAAAGAAAAAAAATTGTGTAATTAATGTAAATACGAATTAACCCTTGTTTTTTGGCATCTTGAATCAAACAATCACCAACACAAAGAACACTTTTAGCATATTTTTTTTAACGGGCTCATTTCAGTTATATAAATTTAAAATGCACGTGACCATTAACAAACTAAAGCTTCTCGGGCAAATTAATGCGCTTATTGCGAGACTCAAATTTGAGACCTACGAGTGATGATGATTGACCATTAAAACCCTGTCATCTGAGGTATATGAAGGGTTTGGGATTGCTTTCTGTACAAAATTAGAATAATTCTCCTTGGTTAGACAACATAGAGTGAAGGGCTCAAGCAACAAAAGTACACCCTTTCAAGTTAAGTACAAATCTGTTTCACATGCNAGAAGAAGTATACTATGATCTGAAGTTATTTTGGGAGATAAATTTAAAATTGTTCCTCTTTCAAATAGGGGTTGTTTACAATAAATTACATTTATTAGTAGATAAGAAACGATTCGAGTCGAAGGAATTTATTTATTGCCTGGATTTGACTTATTTACATAACAAACTTAAAAATCTAACCAAGTTAACTTTGTAATTTGAACAATTAAAAATCGAGTTGAGTCCTAACCTGGCTCGAGCTATTATTTGGATATTTCAAGAGCCCCATCCACAAGGAGCTACCTTTAAAATGGTTTGATGGTTGCTCTTTGGGAGTGAAACTCAAAGTTGCAATGGGTAAGGTGGAGGACCAAACTATGTCTGGCCGTGGATGATTCAAAGTAATCTGGTTTGAAGGAAACTAAGAAAACGACATGACTTAAGGGCTAGAAATGAATGGAGGATGATGTATGACATTGAGAGAAAAGATAGTAATATGCATCTGTTTCATACTTTGATAACTTACAAGAGGATGACTCATCTTCTTGTGATTATCCTTCTAAGAAAATGATTTGTCTTCACCTATTTCCTCCTATTTTTGGGTCTTACCCTGTTTAAATAGGTTAGGTATGCGTTATTTTTTGACATTTTCAAATGAATATGGAGACCTCCAATCATAGACGTTCATTCACAAATTACTTATTATTTTTTGAAATTAAATGTATTTACGTTTCAAAACTCGGTCAATCAACAGAATAAAAAAGAAAAAAAATTGTGTAATTAATGTAAATACGAATTAACCCTTGTTTTTTGGCATCTTGAATCAAACAATCACCAACACAAAGAACACTTTTAGCATATTTTTTTTAACGGGCTCATTTCAGTTATATAAATTTAAAATGCACGTGACCATTAACAAACTAAAGCTTCTCGGGCAAATTAATGCGCTTATTGCGAGACTCAAATTTGAGACCTACGAGTGATGATGATTGACCATTAAAACCCTGTCATCTGAGGTATATGAAGGATTTGGGATTGCTTTCTGTACAAAATTAGAATAATTCTCCTTGGTTAGACAACATAGAGTGAAGGGCTCAAGCAACAAAAGTACACCCTTTCAAGTTAAGTACAAATCTGTTTCACATGCCCATCAATTGTGCCTGATTAATATGTACAAGCATGAGTTTGGCCAAAGTCCCTACCAAATTGAAAGAGATAAAACTTGTTCTAAACCTACTAGACATCATCGCAATCAAGAGAAACAGATAACTAAGCATCATCACAACATATCAAGAGAAACAGATAACTTTTAGGTGAGAAATGCTGATTGCAAAAAGGTGGATTTTTNAATCAAGAGAAACAGATAACTAAGCATCATCACAACATATCAAGAGAAACAGATAACTTTTAGGTGAGAAATGCTGATTGCAAAAAGGTGGATTTTTGTCCCCTGTTGATTAGAGAGTTTGAAATTTTAATTCATCAATCATTTTTGTTTTCACAGCAAAACCAAAACAAACATAAGAAAACACGANTTGTCCCCTGTTGATTAGAGAGTTTGAAATTTTAATTCATCAATCATTTTTGTTTTCGTAGCAAAACCAAAACAAACATAAGAAAACACACTTCTCTTTGTACATACACAGCTCTCCCAAAGAAGAACACGAAGAATAAAAGAGGGAAGAATTAGAAGATTATTTACCCGAAAAAGGTAGAGTTATTGCACTGAAGAAGCGATGTAAATCAATAAGTGATATAAGTTGCTATGGGTTGGAGAAAAGAATGAAGAAGAAAGAGAAGAAACAAACTAACTTTAAATTAATCATACAATCTTTGTAAAAATCAATACATCATAAGAATTCAAACATGAAAAATTAAGACTCCTAACACATCCCTACCATAGTGTTCAAATGAATAAATAAAACCCACAACACATCTACAACTTCCAGTTTGATCCTCTATCCAGAAGCTTCATGTACAATTCCAATCTCTACGTCAAATAATTTCTCCACTCCCCAAGTCTAGCACATTAATTTCTATATGATGATATGGTAATACTAAACCATCTATAATCCTCCACATAAAAAGGGTGGAATTTGGAGTTGAGAAAATAAAAACAAAACCAAAAAAAAGAAGGAAAATAAATACAAAATAATGAATTAATCAGGATTCTTACAGGCACAGATTAACAGAGAAAATCCAACCTTGTCTTCTTCTTTCTGCTCCAAAATTTTCTCTTCCAACCACAACCTGCTATCCAACCCACTCCTTGTCCTAAACATGAAAACAGCACAACCAGAAGCTGGATTGAAGAACCAGTCATGAACATCCCACATCATATCCACCACCAACCCATCTACAAAGATGGTCTGATTCCCCCGAAAATTCCACCTTAATCTCTTTACTTGAATCACATTCTTCTCGTCAATACATACCGATAATCCCGAGTTCTTCGACCCCCTTTCGTCACCGATGCACTTGATCAAAATGTCATGACATATTCCATTTTCACAGAACTGAGCCTTGGTTGAATACAGAGAATTACCCAAAAACTGTTCACTGCGAGAAACTAAAGAAAATTTGGCTAAGGGTGGATTGGATATTAGTTTCTTCATGACAGGTTCTTCTTCCATGTCTCCAAGAAGGAGACTTAACCCTGAGTTGACCAAAACCATGATGTAAAACCCATTGATTGGCTCAGGTCCAGCATCGTAGGTAGCTTTTGAGAGATCCCAGAAGACTTCAATCTTTGAATTGCGAAATTCAAATGCTTTTGTGCCTTTAATCTTCCGTAATTGGTGAGAATTTTTACTGAATTTTGAAGGGGAAGATGGATCATCACTGATACTTATGGAGAAGCCTTGATGTGTAAGGTTGGACCAGATGATTCTGATGAGAAACTGTTTGTGAGTGGAATGTTTGGCTCTGTAGATACATGTGACTGCATTTTGGATTGAAGGGATCAAATTTGGGGAAAGATAAGCCTGATTGGAAGGTCCAGAACAGTATGAATCAGATATTTTGATGGCATGTTGGCTGTAGCAAGTTGCTATATTTCTCATAGTGGAGGAAAACCAGAGAACATAACTCAGAAATGAGGATTAAGATTGAATTAATCCTGTTGACGAAGAATTATAAGAGAGAGGGAGAGAGAGAGAGCGAGAGAGAGAGAGAGAGGAGAGAGAGAGATGCGTTCTATCCCTTGCCTTTTGTGCAAGAAAATGAAGAGCTTGAAGAAGGTAGAGGAGAACATGAACAGCTTGAAAGTGATGGAAGATGGGTTCTGGATAATATGTGCCTTTCTTGACTGTAACCTCAATCTCCTGGCACAGTTGTAACTGAAAACCAATGGAGAGAAATTGATGGGAAGGAAGGAAGGACAGTAATTCTAGGTTTGTGGCCAGCACATCTACAATTAATATGGTGACGATAGAAGACCATATTAATTCATCCCAAGCTTCTTTACAATATTTTTGTGACAGTTCATCTGTGATGTTTGTGTGGGTATATATGAATATGGAGTTGTCTATGGTAGGGGGAAAAAAAAATTCAGTACTAATATTTATTAATTTTTTGGTTTTTTTTTATTATTGTCGTAGGTGATAATTATTAATTTTTTGGATTTTTTTTTATTATTGTTGTAAGTGTTTTTATCACTTTTGTGGTAACAAAAAAAAAATGGTAAAATAGTTATCACAACAATAATAAAAATACTCACAAAAGTGATATTTTTTTGTATTGAAAAAAAGTATTACCATAATAGTAATAAAAATACTTATAAAAGTGATAATTTCTTTTTGTTGTAAAATGACCAACAAAAAGATTTTAAGATTTTTATTTTGCACCCTCATAGATTAAGTTTCCCATATTATACCCTCAATATATTAAAAAGATTGTAATGTGATCATTTTGTTAGTTTTCATTAATTTTTCATTAGTGACAATGGGNCCCATATTATACCCTCAATATATTAAAAAGATTGTAATGTGATCATTTTGTTAGTTTCCATTAATTTTTCATTAGTGAAAATGATGTGGTTTTTGATAGAAAAAATAATGAAAGTCAATGGAAGGTCCATTTACAGTACTTTTGATATATTAAAAATGTAATGCTAAAAATTTAATATTTAAAAATACAAAATGAGAATTTTAAAATCTCCCCACCCACCCAGAAGAGTTTATGAGAAAAGAGAAAACTATATATTATAGGTTGACCTGATCTGATTTTGAGGACATTGGTATCTCTGAAATAATCAAAGATATAACTGCGCGAAAAGGGGAGGAGGAAATGAAAATCCAGGTCAGTATGAGATTGATGGGCTGGGGTTGACTTTGGGGGTGTTGAATATATATATATATTGGTGCTATATCTCGACTTTCTGCTCAACAAAAATATGACCCAAATAAAATATAGATTTAATTACAAATTTTACTTTGAAACATCGTTTGAATTTTAATTTGTTTTTTCAAAAATCAAAGATTAAAAATTTTATTTTATATCTTCAAAGATAAAAAATTTTAATTTGTATCCTCAAAGATAGAAAGTTGTATCAATACACACCTAAAACTAACAGTTGACAATTTACCGTATAAAATTAAATAGGTAAATTATACTTAAATCTNATTAAAAATGTAATGCTAAAAATTTAATATTTAAAAATACAAAATGAGAATTTTAAAATCTCCCCACCCACCCAGAAGAGTTTATGAGAAAAGAGAAAACTATATATTATAGGTTGACCTGATCTGATTTTGAGGACATTGGTATCTCTGAAATAATCAAAGATATAACTGCGCGAAAAGGGGAGGAGGAAATGAAAATCCAGGTCAGTATGAGATTGATGGGTTGGGGTTGACTTTGGGGGTGTTGAATATATATATATATTGGTGCTATATCTCGACTTTCTGCTCAACAAAAATATGACCCAAATAAAATATAGATTTAATTACAAATTTTACTTTGAAACATCGTTTGAATTTTAATTTGTATTTTCAAAAATCAAAGATTAAAAATTTTATTTTATATCTTTAAAAATAAAAAATTTTAATTTGTATCCTCAAAGATAGAAAGTTGTATCAATACACACCTAAAACTAACAGTTGACAATTTAACGTATAAAATTAAATAGATAAATTATACTTAAATCCNCAGTTGACAATTTACCGTATAAAATTAAATAGGTAAATTATACTTAAATCTCTTCATACTTGTCACTTAATCATTTGGACTCCCTCATATTTAGAATATTACTCCTACACCTTCTGATGTTTGTGCACAAGTAATACAAAACTGTTTGTCGTTGATATCTGTTAAAAAATATGATTTCATTCTTATAAAAAAAAATATAATTTTTATATTACTCTTTATTTTGTGGGTCCGTTATACTCTAAAATTTAAAATTAAACTTATCATTTAAATATCCAATATAATGTAAGTATTTACATAATGTTATTTATATCTAATGCAATACATCACTTAAAAATAATTATTTGGATTCCTAATTGCGGGACATTTTTAGTCATATTTGAACTTTAAAGGGTTGTAGGTATAATATTTCAAATATGAGGGATCTAGGTACTTAAGTGATAAGTATGAGGGGGTTTAAGTATAATTTATCCATTTAGTTTTAGACGGCAAAGTGACAACGGTTAGTTTGAAATGAGCATTGATACAAATTTCTATTTTTGATGGTACAAATTAAAATTTTTTATCTTTAAGGGTGTAAATTGAGATTCGAAGATCTTTCGATTTGCAACTTGAGATTAATCCTAAAATTTACTTATTTTATTAGTTTATATTATTTTTTTATATTTACGATCAATGACTATAGATTTATTAAACAAAAATCTATTGTTATGNTAATGTAAGTATTTACATAATGTTATTTATATCTAATGCAATACATCACTTAAAAATTATTATTTGGATTCCTAATTGCGGGACATTTTTAGTCATATTTGAACTCTAAAGGGTTGTAGGTATAATATTTCAAATATGAGGGATCTAGGTGATTAAGTGATAAGTATGAGGGGGTTTAAGTATAATTTATTCATTTAGTTTTAGACGGCAAAGTGACAACGGTTAGTTTGAAGTGAGCATTGATACAAATTTCTATCTTTGATGGTACAAATTAAAATTTTTTATCTTTAAGGGTGCAAATTGAGATTCAAAGATCTTTCGATTTGCAACTTGAGATTAATCCTAAAATTTACTTATTTTATTAGTTTATATTATTTTGTTATATTTACGATCAATGACTATAGATTTATTAAACAAAAATCTATTGTTATAGATGGATTTTGGTATGGTACCGATATTTTTTTCCGATATCCGACTTGTATTATGC